GGTGGGGTGGGGTGGGGGGGAGACAACGTATACATGCATGAATTTACCGATGGTGTTTAAATACCTGTATTTCGTTTTTTCTTATATATAATTATATACAGATTCTTTCTTTTAAAAAAATTAAGTTCGTATGTTTCTACTCCCGGAAAGAAACGTCCCGATTCCTCTGAGTCACGATGAAGTCTGCAAAGCAGGGGACTGGGGAGGGGGCTGCTGTAAGGCCTGCCCCGACCTGGGAGGTTCCATGGAAAGGAGAGGACAACCTGAGAGAAGAGGTGGAAGAAACGCAGGCTCCCGTACACACGGCTCCTGGGTGCTACCGAGGGATGGGGAGGAGGAAGGGGTTACCCTGCCTGCAGCAGGAAATAAAACAGAAAGAGTTTGCTGCCCTCCCAGGCTGCAGCCCTTCCTACTGCACCAGTTCAGAGGGCCCAAGAATGAACCAAGGGGTCCCAACAGGGAAAGTAATACTATTTACAAGATGGAAAAAAAACCCCAACATATATTCTCATTTTGACCAGGAATGTTGGGTTGGAGGGGACAAAAATGTATGCAAAGAGGACAGGTAGGTCCAAATTATTTTTTCAGGCTTTATGTTAAACAAATAACTTGTCTTAATACAGATATCTGGTTGTGCCTATGCCAACACCCACACAAACCAGTAAGAGGGATCACAAACCGGTAAGAGGGATAGACTCAAGTTTATTACTTCCTCCCACAAGCCTCTTCACTTCCCAGGCAGTTACCGTTCAGTATTTCTCTACCTGGCCCAATGGACAGCCTGTGGTGAAACATATTCACAAGGTGCAACGAAATGCAACACATTTACGCTCTCTTTGTTCCGTAAACTAGAATTTTTAGGAATATTTCCTACTGCCAGCAATAGGAAGTTAGCAGGGAAGAATCAGTTGGCTCAGTCTCAAATTATAAAGAGCAACACTATCTCCTCACCCTTCTCAGCAACAAACTTGTGGCACCGGCATCTCCTTTACTGGGCTTCTACCACTCAATTCGTAACATCCAAGCCTTGGGCAAACAGCTCACAACTTTGCCATTTAAGAAAAAACAGTTGCTTAGCGGACAGCAAGCGAAGAAACGAGAGGCCCAATAGTACATACTTAAAAACAAACCCCTTCCAATTCATTCTTCAATTACAGATCACCATCTCAGTCCTAAATCTACCTTCCTGAAGCCCTTCTGCACTATATCTTTCACAGGTATTGGCCAAATGGTGTTCCTCAGGCCAAGACTATCTCTACCTCTACTCTGTTTTCCTGTGTGTCCTACATACACTATTCTAATTTATTTTAAACTACACAACCATCCTCCAGCTGATCTACTTGCCGACACTTCTCTTACCATCATTCTGATCAGATTTTACCTCTGGTTTCCCATATGCGGCCATAACCCCAAGCAAAACCCATTCCAGGAAGCAAAACCCACTGTGATGAGCTTAAAAATCAGATTTGCTTCACGCGACTCATTTCCGAGCTTTGTGTCGTATCTCTATGCCAGCTTCACTGGTTGTTGCTCTTTACCTTAATGGGAATTTCATTCTCGCCACTGGCTGTTCTGTATCATCTCTAACCCTTTTTGTCACTACCTCAACGTTTAAATAATAAAATGGAATAAAATTGCACAGGGAAGTAACATAAAGGACCCTCAAACCGTTATCACCAGTACCAAAAGATACCTGGGTTGAAGGGACTGCTATTTTACCTGAGTGTCTTGTGGTCCCAGTACAGCAAGAAATTTCCTGTATACTAGGACATATGTTCACAGTCTGAAAGTGGAGGAACTAATCACCTCAAAAGCAAGCTTGACCCACACTAACTCCATCACAGACCCAACATGACTGCCATCATACATTCCACTCACGGCATCTCCAGCACACCTTTTCACTCAAGGAAACTGCCAGAAATTTCCTCTCTGGTTTTCAACTTGCCTTCCTTTGCAAAACCTCTCTGTGCAAGAGAAGCTGCCCATGGGACCGAGCACACCAGCTGATTCAGCACAATGCAGTGCTGAGGTAAGACTAGAAAGTAACACTTTTAAAGTTTCGGTACAAGCCCATGGAAGGAAAGGTTAGCAAGGACACCTGAAACATGATTAGGCAGATTTACATTACAGAAGTAGCTGGAAAGCTCTCAAAGCACTCCCCATACTGCCAAGTCGTGAAGCACTCAGCAGTGGTGATCAGCCAGCAAACCTGTTAGGGGGAGAGCGAGAACAGCAGATTATTCAGCCCTGGAGTTATTTGGAAGAAATATGTCATTCTACACCAGTCTGGCCAGCCCAGTAGAAAAAAGGCTGCACTGCAGATCTCCAGTCACAGAAAGACAAGAAGTCAACAGACCACATTTCCGAGTGCCACAGGGTTTCAAAGAGATGACAGCCAGGACAGTAAAATGAAAGAAAACTGCTTCAAGCCTGTAACCTGTGGAACCAAGTGGTGCAGTCTGGCTGCCTTTGAGTGACTTCCACAGATGCTAGCAGTCTTTCTCCCACTGAAAGCTTGTTGCTTGCATTAGTTCTATGGATTACACTGCTCTACCTTAAAATAAATACAAGACAGACTGGAGATGGAGGAAGAAATAAAGCATTTTGTGTATCTGTCCCTGTTGTGGAAAGGAGTGGGAGTAAGAGGGAAGGTGCTGAAGAATTTCATTGGTTTGAAATTTTTTTTTTCTTAGATTATCATTGACCAAAAAAACATCACTGGACAGTCTTAAGCCACAACAAACACAAGTTAGCATGGGCTTAGAGAAGCTCCACAGGGTGAGAAGAGTATTGCACACACAAATGCAAGAAGGAAAGATTTTCTGTTTCTCAGACAAGAAATTAATGGAAAGCAAAGATGCTGGGGCAGGGGAAATGGTGGTAATCACGTCCCAAAATATCTTGTTTGAAGTTCTTGGGAAACCATTTTCTCTGGGTAGCTGAAACAGTTTTACAAAAGGTAGAGAACCCCAGCTTTCTTGGGATGTAAATATTCTGTTTTCCTGGAAAAGCAAGAAGAAAACATTTTCCTATCACAGTGAAATGAACAAATGACACAGATGAGCTGTTGCACTGAAGATCTCTCAAATCTGGAATTACACTATAAGAGATGGAAACCAGCTTTTCCATGTCACTTCACAACAAATAAATCATCGCCCCAAATTTCCCAGTCATGATAACATCAAAGTCAATATCCAATTCCTAATCATGCAAGGTGGCAGAAATAAACTTTCATATTTCTATTTAAATCCCATTTTTAAAACGTCTGCAGAAAACCCAGTCTGAAGTATCAATAGAACATCAAATTCCAGATTAAAAATACCACTACTGAATTCACTAAGTAATCTCCAAAGCGTGGTCCAAGAGTTGCAGAGCCTTCCCCCAGAGGTGAATGCAGATAAAATACAGTGTAGGGACTGTCTTGAAACAAAAGAAAAGCGACAAGGTTGTCATGACAACAGCAGGATTACTCCAGGTAACAAAACTAAGGCATGAAAAGAAAGAACAGCAAGACAAGATTTAAGCAGAAAACAGTTCATTAATTGCACAGACACTCCAGCCTGTCTCCCTGTTGGGGATTTATAATACAGAGATTGTTTCTCGCTGGGATATGGCAAAGGGATTGACAGTTTTTGTTAAAGGACAAAGATAATAGCCGCAAACATGACATAGAGCAACAGTCAGAAAAATAAATTAATAAATAAACCCATAAAAAGTCTGCTTCTTGATTCTCATGAAGCCTTGGAGAGGAAGGTATTGGCTTCACTCGGACTCCTTTGTTTTTAGTCAGCAGTTCAGAATTTCTTGGATAAACTGGATTTTCTTTGTTTCTTTAGGTGCCAAACATCCTGACCTCCTGGCTATGAAGAAATTTCAAGGCAATTTCTCCAAACTCCTCTTTCAAGACTTTGTCTAGAGACAGGAAGTTGAAGACCATTGGGGAAAAAAATATTAAAACTGTGGCCAGCACATTGCTAAGAATTAGAGCAAGTCAGATGTAGGGGCCTGAGGAAATCAATTTATAAAGGTCTCCCCACCAGCCCTAGACCAGTGCAATGATAGCATTGGTCTGAAGCTCTCTCTGTGGTCCTCATCTTGGGATTATTTCTGTGTATTCACAAACACCTGAAAGCCACCCCTCTTAGAGTTTTTTGTCCATGCGCCGTTCCACAGCTTGTAGCAATAGCTCTGAGTACTGTTCCAGCAAAGCTAGCGTCTGCTCATCTCCCAAACTCTTGGGACTCGGTAGATTGGCACCACATCCCTCATTCAGTGGGCTAGTGGTATCTTGTGGCTTCACCAGTACCTCCTTAACCTTTGGAAGCTCTTCCTCATCCTTCAGAGAGTCCAATTCTTTCTTCATTGAGGAGAATGTTTCTGTCAGGAGGCCTGCTATTTTATCTTTGTCAGTAGAAGACTCCGTATCATTTAACACCTGAAAATAGAGAGGGAAAAGAAAAAAAAGAATGCATTGGGGTTTAGGTAGAGCACCAAGCAAGCAGTTTCAGCCCTTTAGGGAAGTGAAGCCACGAAGATTTGCAGACCACTCAAGTGTCCTTTTCTTCGAGTACTGGCAGTACATTTGAGACTGCCAATTTAGTCATATATTAGGGCATGCATCCAATACTGCTAGTTACTACACAAAACCCAGAGGCATTACTCCAATAGGATAGAGATGGAAAGCGCATTTTTGGGTAGCGTCCCCCTTATACGGGGCCTAAGGCGATGCTACATTTCCCAGCTGCAGCACAGGGCCACAGTCTCCTTTTTTTCCTGTCTGCCAGATGCAGCTGGTCACAGGAACAGGGCAAGGTCAGAGAGCTAATGCAGGCGCTAAGGCCAGAGCTGCAGAGGACAACATGGCAGAAGCTCACTGTGGAAGTTTCACGCTCATTACAGGAGACTTGACAGATCAGTGCTAAGCAAAGAAACGAAGAGCTGTTATATTGCTCTGCATGTAACTCCAGTCTGGCAGTGAGAGGGACAGGCGAGTGGTTGCATGTTCCCTCTCACAGCTGGATTCCCATGGTATCTCACATTTGCTAATCCTTTTCCCAGGCATCAAAGACAGAGAACAGATGGGGATAATAAAACTTAAAGCTCCTATAATATTTCGTATCTCTGAAGCACTGTATAAATATTAACTAATTCCCTAATACCCCTTTGAAAAAGAGCATACTGTTATCTTCAGTTTACAGATACGCTAAACAGAGTGAAAAGTTAATTGATTTGCTCAGAGTACCATAGCAAGCCATTAGAAAATCCAAAAGTTGGAAATCAGGAGTTCCTACCTCCACAGTTTGAGCTTAAGGTGCAGTCAAGTGGACAACCAAGCAGCTTGTGTCCCTGAACAGCCAGTCAAGAGAACATCTTGAGCCAGCGAGCCCATACATTCAATGCTCATGGGCTGTAAAGCCAACCTACTGTAACAGAGCGTGTGTCTGAGGTCACTCACCATGCGGTAAAGATGAATAGCTTTGCGCATGCTGTCCTGGAGCTCAGATACCACGTGCTCACACTGCTCTACGCTGATACACGATTCTGAAGGAGAGGAAAAAATAAAAAAAACAAACTAAGGCACAGACGTGCTCCAATATCCACGATCTCACAGTTGGGTAAGAAAACATTTTTTTCAATATATATTTGAAAGACCGTGCGCACACACTTCTCATTCCATTTTTAAGGCTGGTTTGAGTCAATCATTAAACAGGCAAGTTCTACATGAGTTTTCCTTCATACTAGTTAGAGATGCTGCTTGTTTCAAACATTCCTATTTTTCCAGTCTTTAGCGTCTCCAGAGTCAACAATGGTTTTTCTCTGATCACCCATTTTTGTTACAGTCAAGGATAGTCACAGATTACCCATGCCATTCTCAATTATAATTAAAGTTAAGTTTGAATGAAGGCTTCCAGGGGCAAAAGGGACCAATCTGAGAAGCTTCTAATTTAGCCTCCACCTAGTCAGAAAGCTACACGCTCCCCCTCATGTATCCTTCTGCAGTGTACAACTAAGCGCTGAGGATAAGGATTATACTGAATTATTACAGTGTTCTCTAGTGAGGACTGAGGTCCAGAGGAGTGTTGACAAACAAACTCAATCACAACAGAATCACATTTCTGAGCAACCCAGGATATGCACTGCTGACACACCGTAATTCGAAAATGAAAAATAAAAGCAAGCAACTGAAGAACGCCATCTTCTGCCTGCTCCCACCAGAAGATCTCCAAAGCATCAGAGTTGAAGGCCTGCAATGTTTTAATAAACTAAACACTTGCATGAGTTAGACGTAAACCATGAACAAAGACATAGACACACGCACAATCTGCAGGTATCTTCAATTTGCAAAGGCCTGGACAAAGGCCACTCGACTTCCTTCAGTTACCTAAAACCAAAACTTGGTAACATTAGCACTATTATTTCTGTGCTTCTGAGAACATCATCTTTGAAGAGGCTGGAGGGGACCTTAGATAATTTTATGAATACATCTAGACGATGTATAAACAAATACAGCTAGAAAAACATCTATTTATACATAAACAAACACATCTAGAAGAACAAAGGGGCATGAACAAATCCTTCCATCTGCATTTTTAGTTCCCAAATCACCCAACCTTGTAGAGTTTGAGCACAGTGGGCTTCAGTGCAGTCCAAGATTCTTGCCTTTTTTTTTTCCCCACTTTTTTTTTTTTTTTTTTTTGCTGCTCCCCTTCTCCCCTCTTTTTGTTTTAAACCCAGCTGTTTCTTCTAATGATCATTTCTGGATTTCTCCTCTGATCATGCTTTTTATGCTGGTCTCCAGCTTTGTGAGCTGCCAGTCTGGAGAAAGGTCACAAACATAACATAAACGCTTGAGTAACAGGCATTTTCTGCCTCTCAGGTGTGCAGAGCAGAGCTCTTCAGAAACCAGCAGAGAATATTAAACACAGTAACAGTATTAAGCACACCTACAGCATTTTAACTGTAGATGTCAAAATGCTTTAACAAAAAACAGTTAAGTCTCTTTATCTGCAGCTGTTACACAGGCAGGAAAATGGAAGGACAGAAAAATTAAGTGGAAACCCGAAGTCACAGAGCAAGTCAGAAGCAGAAGAGGTCTCTGTCAATCCCACAGTTCTAAATCTAAACTGCCACACTATGATCCACAGGAGCCACAGTAAATTGTTCACAACAATAGCCAACTTGGATCTAAACAGCTTTTCCAGCATCTACCATTAAAAATTTGGGAAACGTGGTCTGCAAGAAGCTGAAGTCTGACAGCTCTGTTGAGAAAAAAAAAAACTGGGGATCCGCTGTGCTAAATCATCCTAACTCACTAAAGGATGCTGCTAAATATTCTGTCAGGGTGTGCTATGTATTGGGAACTGCTTTAAGAAAAAAATAATAATCACTGCTGCAAAAAAATTGCTCTTTCTCTGCATTATCTGTGCTAATTCTGCAAACAAAGATTCATAGCAACTGACCAAAAACCATGTGATATGTAGCTTGATTCCCAAGTCTAAAAGAGAAAACTCAGCCTAAAGAGTACAGACAACTGGACTGTTACTTCTCTGCTGTAGAATGTGATTCCACAGCTCCGGGCTGCATCTGCTGTTGGAGGAAACCTTACCCCTGTGGGGGTAGGGTCTGAAAGTTTCAGATGCACTCGCTGTTCTACAGAGGAGCTAGCCTATGGTATAAGAACAGCAGGTCCCTCAGACAAAACTCCACATTTCCTGTTTTACATAAGCGTGCTTCAATCTTAGGGTGTTTGATCCCTCTAGAAATGCAAAAAGAAAAATAACAGTGCACCGCAGATGCTGTGGGACTAAGCTGTGTCTTCTCTGCCACTGGAGATTTTCCTGCCTTGGAGGGCAGGATTTTTGCTTCAGTTTGAAGTTACCTGCTAGTTTTCATTTGATTGAAGTACCTTCAACCAGGGCCTGTAACAGATCCAAGAGCTGTTTTCAGCAGGTAAAACAGTTTCCCACCTCGTACCTTTTTCTCCAAACTAGAGATCATTCAAAAATTAATCCAAGTTCTTTATGCTCAAACCCAAAGGCTGGACCTGCACGTGCATTGCATACCCAGTTTGCAGACATGTCCTCAAAGCAGAGTGATAGCACCACAGAGACTTTCTCGCTCTCACAGGTGGCTACAGCAAGGAACTCGCCTTAATCAAGCCTCATCTCAAGCAAGAAACTGTATGCAAATCCTTCTGGACCCTGCACACTTGCACATTAACAAAGTAAAGCCTGAGCTGCCTGGCATAACTTCACTGTCACTATTATCTGTGCTTGCTAGGTTCTGCTAGCGCATGTTGGCTCGCACCTTCATCTGCTGGTCAGGCATGCTCTGCAGGGGACACGGGGGATGTAACCTACACACACTCATGGGGATCCCCAGCATGTCAGCTTTTAGTATTGACCAGAAAAAGGTTTTAGCCCCTACATGTAATTGTATGACTAAAAACATGAGAGTGCTGAGGTCTACAAAACACTCAGCTAAAAAGGACCTTCAGACATAAGACCTAGAGGAAATGGAAATTAAAGACTGAGAAAAAGATGTCAGGTTGAAGAAGTGTCTCACCATTAAGGGGATGGCTTATGGAATGAGACAGGTGCAGACAGGACGAGACAGGCCAGAAGCTGGACGTAAAGAAATGTGATGGGATCGTGAGGCGGTTCACAAAGACAGGAGACAGAAGGGGGAAGATAAGAGATGGGTATCCATGCACACCTGAGACCTGTGCCGAGGCAGTTATAGATGTAGGAGACCTCGGCCTAATGGGGTCTAGTGGGCAAAGTCCAGGTTGGTTGTCTAGTACACAGGCGATGCCGGTGATCCTCTCCCTGCACCTGGTCAGTGTGCCCTCAGGAGACCTTAGGTGCCGGCCCTCTGTCAACTCCCTCAGTTTTGGATTAGTGACCCCTGGCTCATCCTGGCAACTTGTCCTCGAGAGTGGATTCTCCACTGGGCTCTCCTTAGCAAGTCCTGTTGGGATCTCCCTGGCAGGAACGAGAGACCCAGCAGTTTGATTCTCCCTCTTGGAGGTTCGGACCTCAGGAAAAGAGGGTTTCTTTTTACAGGCCCCAGCAGGTGACTGAGGAGACTGTGGCTCAAGCAGGGTCTTTGTTTTGGTAGTGGGTGAGAAGGAGGCCAGTGTGGGTCTATCAGGCAATGGCTTGGGAATATCAAGAATCAGATGTGCTCGGTTTGATGATGCCAACTTGCTGTGGAAGGACTTGGGAGATGAGCAGTTTACAACTGGCTGAAGTGCTGGCTTCACTGGAACATTTTCTTTCACTGGTAGCTTAGTCTTCTCAGCATCTGCTGTGGAACTAAACTGTGTCTTCTCTGCCACTGGAGGGCTAGTCCTCCCATCAGTCAACATTTCAGTGGAGTAACCAAGGTACAGATTTTCCCCTACAGATACGCTCCTTGACATCTTAGCCCGGAAGCTTGTTGTGGGGTTCATGTAGGACTTTGGTTTTGCAGACCTGACATCTTTGGCCAGCAGAGCACCAGATCCATCCATCTTCAACATACTGGCTGATAACACCCTGCAATTGTTAGGTCTGGGATCCTTCTCAACCACCATAAGAGTCTGAGGACGCTGCTTGGCAGAGGATATCACTCCAGGACCCTTATCTGTGAAAATTAAACAGACAAACATACCAAAAATAGACAAGAGCCTGCAGTGAATTCCAAAACCGGAAAGTAACAGAGCTGCTCCAGGCTATATGCCCCTGGGAGAGGTGTACAAAACCACTGCTTCACGTTAATATCACCAAGCCTCAACAGCTTTCTTTTTTGCCCATCCCTCATCCTGCTTACCTGATGAGACAGACTTGTTCTTAAAGTGTATGGCCAGAAGACCTCAGACCACCATGACCATTAACTGAGAGGCCAGAGGAAGCAGGCAAAAGCTTATATATGGTGTTGCAGTGATGAGGTTTATTTTTTTTTAAAACAAACGGAGTGCTTATTGATGGTTCATGAGATGATTGTTTCAAAAATGAAGTTCTTTCACACAGAGTGCATGGATACGGTAAGCTCCCTCTTACTGCCCCGACTCCTGTCCTCTTTCTCTCCTTCCCACCCTGGGGAGCTTCAGTCCTGGCCTGGAGCAACCACCCACAGCAAGAGAGAATTTCTTTGCAAATAGTTCATTTCAACCTTGGCACTGCTCCTCCCACCTGCTGCCAGACAAATATCAGAGACTGATAATTAGGAGACCAGCATCTGCATTAGAATTAAAAATATCTTCCCTTGACAGGCTAAGAGTTAGAAGACATGCAAAGCCTGTAGCTCAGAACGCAGAAAGACATAAGCTTCATTTAAATCTCTACTCAAGCTCAAATCTTCTCATTTCATTCTCGGGTTTATACCATCATTCCAACCTGTGTCCTTACCCTCATGAACGAGGTCGTGAACTGACTGTGCCTTTCTCATCACTGCATTCACAGGACCTTCTGGAAAGGATGCTATAACCCGTCCAGGAGCCATACCGACTCTGCTGGCCTCCAAAGCTGATCTGCGTTTTTTCTGGACATAAACAGCCCGATTTGAATTTACACTCTCCAGGAGCTGGTTGTTCTCCAATACATCACCAGGATGGCCGCTGCCATTTTTCAACAGGTCTGCTGTAAACCGATTGGTCTGGGTTGGCGGCTCGATTGGCTTTGAATTCAGTATCAGATTTGACGAAGAGAGTGACAATCGTCTAGAGAACACGACAAAGAAATCCCAGTTAAAACAAGTAAGTATGTTGCCCTGGACAAACAGACACACGCATTAAGCCAGTTTCTCTGGGATAAAAAGCCCCTCCCTATCTGGATTTTTTAAAGTCAAAAATGCCCTAGGCTGTTACCACTTCATTCTACTCATCACTGGTCTTTCAGGCATTTGACCTTAGGCTGCACGATCACAAATAGCATTGGGTCACTGTTTCCAGGGGGGACACTGTAAAAGGTGAAGGCAAAAGAGAAGGAAAAATTCCAGGCAGAGGGAAGACTGGGCAAAGTCAGGTCAGGTCTTTTCTCTCAGGTCACCTTACTAACAATGAAATCTTTTCCATTCTAACATACCTAAGAGAAAGTAATTACACTTTCCTAGCATTATGAAAGCATAATTACTAGGAAAGCTGGTCAGTATCTTCAGGAAGAAAGCCTAATTTCCTCTTCCTCTCCACTTCAGACAAGCACGGTGGGCTTACCTCTGAAAGAAGGCAACTTTCAATCTGGCATGTTTGAACAGTCTAACAGATTAAAAGCCCAGATGTTTTCATAATCTAAAACTACCTCTCTTGTTACATCTCTAGAGCGCCAGTGAGTTCCTTCACTCACTATTGCAACTCTCCAGAAGCTTACACAATAGCTAACCACTGGCTTTCTTCCCAAACATAAGATCCCAATGCGAGTCAGACTAAGAGGCACTCCTGACAGCAGCAACAGCAGCTGAATACAGAAATGACAAAAAAAATTTCCCTAACATGGTGAATCTAGACACAACTGATGAACCATAGAAGATATACCGAAATCTGCTCAGTCCTAAATTAATTTCATTGTATAAGCTGAGATTTCAGGTTGTCATTTTAGAGGAATACAGGAGTATTTGTTTGTTTTAATCATTTATGAACCCAAATCAACAAAAGTATTTACCCCATTTTTTGTTTGTTTTTTGTTTCTTTGTTTGTTTCGTGGGGATTTTTTTTTTAAACAACAAGGGAAACAGCTTGGAGAGGCCTTTTGGGGTGCCTTAGGGTTGAGGTATTTTTGGAAGAATAATATCCCCATGGCACTTTGTATGAGACACCAGAGCACCCTGTGAAGGCACAGGACTGAGAAACGAAGCTGAGTAAGAAAAGACTGTAAAACAAAGGAAAAGTTGACAAGCCTACTTTCATTGTCCAAGCTGAATGAAATGCAAAAGAATAAACAGAGCATAAACAGTGAAGAGTAAATTAGATGATTAGTGATTCCTCCAGCTTAATCAATCAAGGCATTAATCATGAAACAATTAAGCACATTGTTGAAAGAGGAAAAAGAACAAAACAACAGTGTTGCTTTAGGAAGAAATAGAACAGCTGAAGTGACACAGGACGGCCTGTCCAAATCACAAGGGTCTGCAACCAGCCTGCCAGGAGCTATGCTAACACTTTGCTGTGCCTAGGCATGCTAAGGCCAGAAGTTTGCTCAACTATTTTGACCCAAGGCCTAGCATGAGACCCACTCACACTAGTAAAAATAGACAGACAGAAACACTCAAAACAAGCAGAGCCATACCTGAGAGCCGGGGACTGGGAAAGAAAGCGAGAAGAAATGCTGAGGTTTTCAGTTCTTTCCAGATTCCTACATGAGCCACCTAAAAATTTTGGTTAAAGGGGAGAGAAAAAGGGAGCAGTTTAGTTACAGAACAAACATTCTGACACACGCATTTTCTTATCACAGAGACCATCAAATGTTCCCCCATATCCAAGGGGATTTTTTGACTAAAACCACAGAGAATGAAATCATTTCATTGCCTTTGCCTTTTCTGTTCTACTTGGATTACTCTGCCTTAAACTGCTACTCTCCCTAAGAGTACGCCTCCTCCTTTTTCTCTTCCCTTTGTGTCCTATCCTGCATCTAGGACTGTGAGGCACTGGCATCAAGCAGAAAACAAACCAATCAAAGGAAAGAAGAAGAAAAAAAAAAAAAAAAAAGAAAACAGACAACTCACATAGATATTGCTGCCTGCAATCATTACCAATTCTAGAAAGATACGCTTTGTTCTGGAGTTGGTCGATAAAGACTAACCAGCTCCTTTGCCACTCTGATGTCTCTCCTCTTATTCTCTCCCTCCACCCAGCATTTCAGCCTTTTCTTTTGTGACATTTGTTGTGCCTTAATGTACCACTAGAGGCCACTGCATGTCACCTATGGGGGGGGGCGGTGAACACACAGTTAATACCTTCATACACAACAGGAAAAACTAGTCTGGGAACAAGAGAACGGCTTTTCAGGATTCCAGGGACAATACTTAATCCAAACTGACACAGACGCCAATCTCATCCACACAAACTTACACACAGACTGATGGAGTTAACAGATGTTGCTCTTCTTTAGGCCTCTCTACATTGGTTCCCCATTTTTGCCCCCTCGTACACAGACACCCACGAAAGCCTAGCAGAACTTGTAGCCTGGTTTGATTTATACAGGAGACAAATCTGGAGTGACCTCACAAAGTCCCACCACCGAGCAGAGAGCTGTACCTTTTCCATCAGAGCTGCCCAGGGTCCCAAAATGCTGCCTGAGGAACTTTTCCTGATCGGGTGTCTGGAGGATTTCTCCCTCCGGCATGCTATTACCCACATCCTCCTCTCCTTCCTCTCCCTCCAGGTCTGAGATGCCATCCACACTTAGGGGCTCAGTGCTTTCAGAATCTGGGAAAAGGCAAAAAAACCAATGCTGTAATAGCATAATCACAGTAACATTAGTCAGGTTAAAAAAAGATATTCAGCAAAGATGCTAAATTGAACCTAGAATGTTAAAGCAGAAGTCGGTTAGCATTAAGTGTAATTCTCTAATCTACCATATCCCACAAACAGCATAGCCTATGGGATAATCAATACTAAACATGCCTCCCTACCTAGCAAGGTAAAAGAAAGCCAAAGATGCACAAGGAAAGTGCATTTTAACCAACTCCTGCTTCTACAGTGGCTTCACTGAAGTGCCTGTTCAAATGTGCCTGAATCTTCACAGCAATACTAGCAAGACTAATAGGAGTGTGACCTCAGTTCAGCTCACGAAAAGGATCAAGTATTAGAGATCAGGATAGCAACTGATAAACGCGGCACAGAACAACCCCAGCAACTTTCTGCAGTGTTCCACATCACATATAAATACATTTATAAGGTCTTTTTGTCTTACCTTCATTTGGATGGTCTGGGCTGGACAGACGACTGCTGCTGTAATCTACAGAGCAGGCACTGTCAGGACTGTGTTTTTCTGGGCATCCATTACTGTGATAACCTCTACTTAGCTTCCCGTGGGGCAACGCTTTTACCTGGAACTCACTACAAGAGAGACAGGAAAGATGCAGCGCTAGAAGAGATACTTGGTTTACATGTAAAGAAGCACATTCTAACTTTAATAAGGCCTTACCTGTGTTAGTAACACCTTTGATTACAAAAGTAAGGCTTTAAAGAGAAAAAGAAGTTGATTTCTCTCATCATTATACAGTATATTTTTTGCATTTCATTAAGCTTGGACAGTGAAGTCTCAAGGGGACTGTCTGACTTTCTGGGCGTTGTCAGTTTCCCATGATTACCAGGCACCAGCACAGCACTGCTCTGGCTTGATTTCCAGCACAGGTGAGGAACAAATGTAGAGGTCTATGTAATGAAAAAGGGACTAAAACCAGGCCTATACCTGCATGATAGAAACTCCAGTTTGCCATAGATTTGAGCCCTAATACAGTTTTTTTCCCATGTTTATGACCTGCTTCTTTGGGCAACTTCTGTGTTGCAAGATAGAGAAGATTCTGGGTTTGAGCAAGACTAATTTACTGAAGAAGTTGTACAAAAATACAATATTGTAGGACAGGGTTCCTGATTTCTGTTGTGATTTCATGAGTCTTATTTTGCCAAATGACAGCAGCACTGTTCTTTTGGCTGATGCCTGAGCACTTCAGTTCTCTACTTTATGAGATACTTTGGTTTCAGATGTAGTCCAATGCAAGGTAGGATGCAGAAGTCACTCAATGGAGCTGAACGGCAATTACCCCCGGCAGCCTGCAAACTCTGAATACTTTGAGACGTGTCCAGTCTGTATCCAACATCACCAGAGGGCCACCCTATCTTACATGATGGAGCAGCACATGAGTCTGCTCTGTCCAAATGTTATCATAATAAAATTAAAAATGTAAATAAAGAGAAACTGGGAGAAACCTAGCAGCTTCAACTGCAAAATCTTGGCACGCTCTCTTGCATAAAAGCCCGTCTAAAGCTATCAGCCCACTCTTTGTAACAGATCAGGAGGAGACAGAGGAAATTAAACAGCTATTAGCATCAAGTTAAGAGGGGAAGGGAAGAATAAAATTCAGGGAAGGAGAAAAAATGGAGCACAGAATGAAACAGAAAATTAAGTGAGGTAAAACTAAACCAGAAGAAACAGCAGAGGAAGAAAGAAGGTCTCCACTGTCTCCAATGTCCTTTTCAATTCCATCTATCTCATGCAAGCCGTTCTATTTCCCACAACAGGGTCATCACATATTGCATTTGTTAAATTCTTGCCCAATTAGGTTTGAAATTGTCATAAATAATAGTGTCCTGTCATTTCTCCTGGGCAGACATTTCACTGTCACGAATATGTCACTGTTGGGTGGTTTTCCAGCTTCCAAGTTTTCCCTTGCTTATTTCAATCCAGATAAGGGAGAAAGCAAAAAGGCTGCTCCCAAGTTATTTATTCAACCAAAAAAACCTGGAGCGGGCTGCTAATGTGCAGTTTCCTCCAAGGAAAGATTATTTTAATGGTGCCTTCTTAGTTTCAGATTCCTTTAGCATCAGGCTGGCATAAAACTCTCAACTAAACATGCCTGGCATCAATCAGGCAGTAAATCAACTCATCCAAGTTGCCACACAAGCTGCAAGCAAACTAAAACAGAAACGTCTAAGCCATGCACAGCAGAGAGCTTATTTTTAACCTGCTAGGGTCTGTAGGATGGATTTCATCTTGCTCAGGGTAGATGACACACTCCTCACTCTCAGAAGGTTCCAATTCTTGAGAGAAAATCCCCTCTTCACAAGACACAAGCCGAATCACTTGGGGTCGCACACAAGACCGGTTATCTTGGGGAGGTATTGAGCTGCTGACCTGGTTTTTAAAAAATAAATAAAAAATAAAAATAAAAGTTAAAAAAAGAGAGAAAGAAAACTAGATTTACCAGTGTTTTTCCTTAAGTCAGCAAGTGCTGTGCAGAGCTGGAAAGTATGCATTACAGCATGGTATATGATCAGAAGTCTGAGATCAGAAAACACAGCACTCGTATGTCTTTCCTGTTCCTTATCTACTAAACTTGACAGACGACTGTAGTTTCCTATTTTGTTTCCTGTTTGCAATCCCTTAAAATTCTCTGGTAAAGTACTGGACTCCCCATCCCCCCTTTGGCCACACATCAGGAGTGTAAGCCACGTGGCAGCAGGTTCTTCCACAACCTTTTATAGACTGATCAGACATCGTTCAGACAAGTCTGTGGGCCACACCTGAAAAACACTGATTTACTGCACACAGTGAGCCCAATCCTATCCTCAGTCATGCAGTTATAAAGGCAGTAAAAACTCTAATAAAGTTAGACAGCAGGACAGATTGCTACTGGAAAACAGTCATTAGCCTTCTGAGGTATGAGCATGCATTACTTGCATTGATACTGAGATCTTGAATATATTTTAAAGAGAACTTAATAATCTAGCACAGCCCACAACTAAGGGCATCATATGAGCCACATTTCAGTGGCTACTGGAGTCAAGAAACAGCACCCCAGCAGAGTGAGCTAAAAGGTAATCAAGTACCCATCTGTAATTCCAAGCTCAGCTTCTCAGCTTGTTTTTGCCATAAATAATCAAAGAGCTAAAAGAAAAAATGAGGCCTTCCTCTGTCATTGGAAAGAAACCTTGATCCCATATGGGCTCTGCTACAAGATGGCAGAAAAGCCAGTCACACATTACGGGAGTACTAACTACAAAAGAGTTATCCGAACAGGTTTCTCAGAAGGCATTTGGAGCCACCTCTAAAGATAAAAAGAATGGCATCAGGTAGTAATAAATATAGGTAGTAATAAACAGAGGCAGGACAGATGCACTCAGAGTAATTCACCTCCTTAGAGCAGTACTGCCCTTACTTTGTTGATGTGCACAGGAAGATCTGCCTGTTCTTCTCTGTCGTCCCCATTGCTGTTCTGAGACAACGAGTCTCGACTCGGAGAACGGGAAACAGAGAAAGACTCCAACTGACGCAAGTCAAGCATCGATTTCACAGTCATCTCTATGTTGCTGGTTGGCTGGGACCAGCGTCCACGTTGCCGGGGCATCTTGCTCATCGGTGCCTCTGAGTGCTGGATTGCCGCTATCTCTTTGGCCTGAAGGAAATTGAAAAAAAGACAGTCTTAGGGACTGAGTCCTGCTGATAGAAAAACAGGAACGAAAACAAAAGACCCACAGAAAAACACAATCCGTCTCCATAAAAGCCCCAAAGCTGTCGGTGAGACAGGTTAAAATTCCTCCCTTAATCATAAAGACATCAAGTAAATATGATACTTTTGTTGCTGCTTCTTGCATAACTGAACAATTAAAGGCCTCACTCGGATCCAAGTATACGATCAGCTTCAGCACTATGTGACATTCAGGCCAGAAATGAAGGGGACAAAAGCATAATATCTGATGGAAAGATACTGATGTAAAAATCCCAAGTGAAACTGTCTCTTAACTAGGCTACATTTTGCCATCCCCAAGTCATTCTTCAGAGAGGCTTCTAAATGGTTTCCCACAGCAGCTGCACCTTTCCCACCAGTGAAAATGAAGTTTTTAATCTCCATGGGAATTTCTTTTCCAGTTTCCCTATGACAAGAAACACAATTTGAAGGTTTAGCAACTCACCCTCCTCATTTCCCAATAGGAAAGGCTTCTTGAGAGCATAAGGTCTGGATCTGGAAAGGGAAAAAGATATGTATCTATATATATATCCTTGGCCAGCAGTCCAGCTTTTTAAAGACCTCTTACCTCATCTTTCCTCAAAGGCAGCATTTCTACACCTTTTAAACTAGCAGACCACTGCCAGCACATGCTTTCCCATGGACTACCAAATCGTTGTATCAAAATTTTAATGGAGACATACTGTTTTGTATAAGATTATCACTGACTCAGCAGATCCATTGCAGAAGACTTGCCACAGTGCAGTGGCCCACCAAAGGCTTGGGAAAAAACCCTGCCTCAAAACACTGTAGCATCTGTGGTAAAAATACCTGAAATTACTAATGGTAATCTCTACTTTAAGTTTTATCGGACATCTCTAGAACCTTCTGTGAGATCTCTTTTGGCTTCTGTGGACTTCTAATAGCTTGTAGACCCAAGCCTAGGACACTAATTCAAAATTTGTTTGGCCAGTTGGAACTAGCAAGAAACTTGGCAATTTAACAACTGAATTCCTAATCGGAGAACTCCAAAATGTATCCCTCTTCAAATGCAGGAATGGGCAACTCCACATTATCCATTGGTGTCTACCATCTGTTTCTGTCTTGGTCTTTCTGCCAATATCTTACACCCTAAGCCAGTGTCTCTCACCTTCTCCCCCCCTTCACATTCATGCCATTTTTCTCCATCTCTGCCCATGCCCCTCTCCCGTTTATACCTGAGTCTCTCTCAGTGTTGCAGTTGGACTGAATATGGAAAGACTGCAGCCCACGTAACTCATCTTCATCATTCCCTTCGTCTTCGCCATCCTTGTCGCTGTCTGATGAGAGTGCAGGCACAGAGGACAGGGCAGAGATGGACTCGTGCCTGGGAGGCAGAAATTGGAGGGAGTATTATGGTCTATCTCAAGAATTGCCCACCATTTCAATCCCTGCACCAGGCAGTTTTCCACCTTATCTCTATCCACACTCAGCAGGCTGCCTCAACTCTCCCAAACAGCCCTCGCTCTAGCAAACGCATCTCTGAGAAACAGGGCAAGATAAACCCTGCACAAAGGTGTGTAGAGCCTCCACAGCAACTGTCTTACATGTGTGGAAGGATGACAGAAATCAGAACAGAAGTAAACGAGTCTGAGAAAGTCAAGTGGAATGAAGCTTGGCCTTCCATTTCAGACCCTGCCAATTCACAAGGTCAAGATGGTAGAGCATATTTGAAAGGCAAATATTTTTCCCACCCTTAAGCATTTCCTCTCTGGAACTGTTTTACACATCAAAAATTTCATAGAGATACTCCCTGTTTGACAGCAATTGGGTATATGGCAAATCATCACATAAGAGACAGGTTCACATCAAGGATTGCACCATGCAGAACCTGCAGGCACAGCCCGCTCACCGTAAGAGCGCTGTGGTGCCTTTTTTAGCCTTCAGGCACAAGGAATAATGTAAAACGTATTTTGGGCAGATCTTTAATCAAAATAGATCAGACAAGTGTTCCCACACAGACCTCAGAGGCACTCCCAGCACAGAATTCCCCAATACCCATCAAGGACACTTACCAACACCAAATTATCTTCCCTCTTTCTTCTCCTCTTCCCCTTCCTCCCCTCACCCCTTCAGTCAACAGAACCAAATGAACTAACCCACTTTGGACAATAATTGAACAAATGAAGAATCCCTAACAAATAAATTTGAGTAGCACCCACTCCATGGCCTTGAGCTAGAGTGCCAAACTCATCATGAGTGACATTTATAGGATATCACTGGTGGGTCTTGAGTGCCAAGCATTATTCATGAAATAAAAATAGCTCATCCACCAATCCAGCCTGGCCAGGGACCAACTTCTCCTGCAGCTGACAGACAGCAGGCAGTATTGAAACATGGTAAGAAGAAGTTAGGGTATTTTAATCTTTTTTCTTCCCATATAGTTAATTTCCATTTTATTAGGAGTGGCTGAGCAATAAGTACCCAACCCTTTCAGATGAGCTTTGAGGTATTCTGGCAAAAAGAAGAGAGAAACTGACTGTAGTCTGCAGAGTCCTCCACTGAAACAGTTTCATGTTGGCTGCCCTCATCTACTTTTGACACTTGAGTTTGTCAGTCTCTTCCTCTTTTCTACTGTTCATCTTGTCACTCTCAGGTTCTTGTGCCTAAGCAGGGGAATCCCAACAAAGTTCAAGCACCACAGTACGTTTGAGGTTATGCCATGTTTCATCCTATACGGTATATTACATTTACATATGGTAGACAATATTAACTTTGTATCAGTAACTTTGATAGCATCCTTCTGCTTGTATTCATGATGGTTGAGGAGTTTATTGAGGAAGAAGGGTTGGATTATTAGACATTTTAACATCTAACTGGTTGAATACCTCACTATGATAAGGTGAGATGGCAAGGCAAGGTTATGTGTTTGCTAAACTCCTGCACGTACTGTCATTGGTGTGAATGGAGGAGGGAGGATTGCCATCAATGTGTTTTATGTTACAAATAGAAAGATGGCCTCTGCCCGTCACATGGTGACTGACAAAATTAGTAAGGGGGGAAAAAAGTACGTTCCAATATCCTCAAAGGAGCTGAGTAAGAGAATACAAAACATATTTTGGAAGTCAGATGGGCGCTTTTTCATACCTCACAGGAAGTGCCAAACAAATTATGAAGTCACATGTATTCTGATACAAATGTAAGGCTATCTTGCATTATCCCTGCAAAAACTCATGTCCCCCTTCCACATCCTCCTTTTTACAACTCAAATACGCTTTTCAAACTCAGTCCTGTGACTTGAAGGGAGATAACTGAATGAGGTTTTCAAAAGGATCTTAGGCCCACTGACTTGAAACTGAGATACTCCTGAAAATGAAACCTAGATTCACAAGGTCTTGAGTGTTTTAACTGATGTGCTTGCCCAAGTCAATCCCTCAATTCAGGCTTTACGACTTTCTCCTTTCTTTTCCTGCCTTCCTCTATGTACTTTGGATTTTCTTCTAAGCCCCTCTCTTGCACACATGTCCTCAATGCTCTTCCTCAATTCTTGTTCAGAGTCATGTAGGGTGAGGTTTCAAGCACGGGAGCTGCTTCCAAATAAGCACCACACAAGAGCATTCTGAAAGCGAAGGAATAAGACTTCTGGGTTTTGCTTGCTGAGAGCAGGTTAAGCCAAACCCCAGCAAAGCATCATTATACCAGAATTAATGTTTCAGAGTAGCTATTCCAGAATAGCATGTACAGACATGTCCAATTCTCATGATACATGTGACTCAGAGCAAGGATTTTAATTGTCCTTTCTCTTGTCTTCTTCCTTTGCTGAGGAACTATCCCACTGTAGTACCATGCCTGGGTCTTGTTCTGTATGGATGGGCAGAGTCAGTTACACTTCAGCTCCCAGTTTCTGAAGGGTCTGCCAGTACAGGGTCAATGGCAGAGAAGGACCTTCAGTTAGAAAGTCTTCAGAACACATATGTAGACTTAAAAGTGCCACATGTCTTTATGGAGACACCTGATATTAGGTACTCTGTATTCTTTTGCATGACCTGAATTCAGCTCTTCTTTCTTTTCTTAAAACAAAACAAAACAGACAAGAATGGCAACTATCCATTTAAAGAGGTATGTTGTCAGCATTCCCACTCTGATCTTGTGCTACTTAAACCCTCAGCTTTAGGGGCCTATTTATGAAACTGTTAACATCCTATGTGGTAGAGATCACTAGCAGATTGCCTCCCACCGCCCCCCCCCAAATGCCTAAGAGTTTTAAAAGAAAGTTACCCTGCTTTTCCCCACAGAAAGATCACAGTGCTTCTGACTTCAGAGTTTCCCTGGCGTTGTAATTGCAGTAGTTCAGCACAGACTCGGGCACCACTTCTGATCTGGCATCAAAAGCCTGCCCCATTCTGAGCCCTGGAAACCGCACAGCTTGCCTGGACTGGACCAAAGCCTCACTGAGAATTTGATAAGAAGCTCTTCTTTCCAAATATATCTGAGGGCACACAGTACTTCTTCGGCATACATATATTAGTTTTAGGCAATTTAATTTGGATAACATTTCTATCTCCTGCTATTTATACTAAAGCTTCAATGGAAGTCACAGAAAAAGTGACTTTTAAAATTAAAATGAAAAAATGTAAACACTCAGCTAAAACATGACTATAAGCCCTGCAAACATTCCACAGTAAAATCAATTTAAAAATTCCCTTCCAAAAATTTGAGACAAGCTTTTCTAAACAATAAATGCATATTTGGATCAAAATCAAAACTGTATTAAAAGGCCTTTACATGGTTACTTCTCTGAAAATATAAATGCCTCAAAACCAAGATGTACCAGCGATATCAGCTGAGTACAAGTTCTATTATCTCAAATAATCAAAGCTCATCATGTTCAGCAGATGAGAGAAAAGCACACATCTCCAATTATCACAACCAGAGGCAGAACTGAAAGGCTCTCAGGGGCACTATGGAGAACTGTGGGTCATACAGGTCAGATCAGTTCCAAAATAATCCAATGTCCCATAAAGGCGAGTCAGAGAAATCCTTCAGAGGAGAAACTTTAGTGTCTCTAGAAGTTTTTAGAGGGACTGAAAAGGCTGGGACTCTTCAGTTTGGAGAGAAGGCTGGACGGAGAAAGGTTATGATAGAGGTTTACAAAACCATGGGGACTACAGGTAGCTGGATGCAGAATTATAGTTCACCAAAGCTAACAATATTCAGAAACAGGGACCTTTCAACGAAACTAGCAGGAGTGTCGCTTAATAGAGACCAAAAAAGTCCTTCTTTCCACAGAGAGCAGTGAACTCCTGGAACTTGTCACCACGGGAGGCTGCAGAGGCAGACAATTATTACAAAGTTCAAAAAGGATTTATACAAATTCAGTGGACAACGGGTCCACTGACCAAATACTAAAGGGAACAGGCAGAGATGTACCTCCTAACCTCCCTGATACAACAATTGAGTATGAGGCGAATGGACCACAAAGGTCCATGTAGCAAGGCTCACACAATGTCTCACTAAATAGTATCTTCTATTGCCACTGTCACAGGCAGAATACTGGGCTTCACGAAGCACTGGTTTGACCCAGAAAGGCATTTTTACGCTCCAGATGTTATTCTCCTGGGCCAATCCCTGCCCTGCCAGTCACAGCTGGATAGAGACAGCACTGTCCTGAATTGGAAATCTTCATCTCCCCACTACGTCCTCAGTTCAGTTTTGTTTCCCCAGTATCATTTTGATTATTCATCTTGTCATACATTCATACTATGAAACTAGGAGAATGCATTACTACCCCCACAACATTCTAGCAATACCATTCTAAAGAAAATATCGTAGAACAAATGACATATCACCAGGCAGGGACCTTTCTTACACTATCGTGAGTCATTTTGAGACAACAGTTTTATACCACAAGGTGCAACCCCAGTCTCCACTGCAACCTATATAGACAGACTTTGGAAACACAACCAGAACAGGTACAGGGCATCTAGAAAACCAATCTTACTCAAGTCCATTAATTTTTCTTCTCCCACCTCAATAATGCTGGTCCAATAGGCTCTTCCTCCATATTCAGTCCCAATCCAAAAGCTCTGGAGTTATATCTTTGCTGATCTCCAGTGACCACAGCAGTCGATCAAAACTGAAAACAAGCTTTCAACGCTGACCAAACAAGTAGATCCCAGGCTTGCAAAGAGGTTACCAAACAACTTTAATAAAGTGCTGGGCTTGGCGTGGCACTAACACCGCCCTTCAGCAACCGTCTGTGACGGAAACAAGTATCACCTCATACAGAAGAGGACTGGGATTATCTGTCACAGGCTGAGCCTCGGTAGGGTAAGGCTGCAGCTGCTGGAATAATGGAGAGTCTGCTATAAAAAGCACATTGCTTGACAGCTCCAGAATTTTGGCTAGAAAAAAGGCTTCCTGAGTTCTCCCAGCATCATTACCAAAAGCACTTATTAGACAAAACTCGTTTCAAGAATGAACAGATCAAGACTTTCCCAAATGAAACTATGCAGACAGACTTGTTTCAACATTACTTGCTACCAAAGGGAGTGGGAAGGTCCCTGTGATACTCTAATAACCAGTGTGGTAAGTCCTTCAATGCTTTGGCACTTTTATATCCAGAACTCAATTTGTAGTCATTTGGAGGGGGAAAATTGTGGGACATAGCATAAAAAAAAAAAAAATAAAAAAAAATCTGTGTTTATCCTTTTTTCCCCCCACTTTGATCCTATATCAGCTTGGTCAGGACTCTCTCCTGCATTGCTTACAGTCAAACTAGTCTCAGCTACTTACTAACTACAGAGAAACCAAATACATTACACTAATAATCCATAATCCCCTGTCACTCTTGTGTTTAAAAACAGGGTCTGTGTTTAAGCACCACTTTTTAAAGAAAGGTCACCAGATAATTTTAGATCTATTCAGTTTGCAGGCTGTGGTAGTTTGTTTTTAGATACGTTGTTTACCGAGCAAAAAATAATAATATGATTTAGCTGTCAAGAACTTTTCCCATGGAAATTATTTTTACGTTTATTATTTATATTATAATTATTTTTAGGTGACCTTTTTCAAAGCCTCCGGAAAATAGTTAACAAAGAAACAGCACAACTGTAAGGACTCTTCCAGAATTATGATCAACATGGCAAACTCACACAGCTCACAGGTATACTTCAGTACTGACACTGCAGAAAACAGCCTTTAAATTGCATTCAGCCCAGATCCAGAGAACTTTATTCGTGAAGGAGCAAGGCTCTCCTGGTGGGATGCCGTGTACCAGCCTCAGTATTGCTAGGTAAACTGCTTATTAAAGTTTCTGACTACATCATTAAACTAAATTAAGACACAAGGGGCATTGCATACACATTGCAATCAGTGAAGCAACACTAAGTCTGTCTGGAAGATCACAGTAAGGCTTCTATATCCAGAGAAGCGGGGCAGAAAAACCATGGCAAATCCAACAGAAGAGTAAGGGAACTTTTGGAAGACACTATCAGTGAAGACAACAGAAACCTTACAGTTGAATCCCAGCGCCACACTTTTCACATTAAACCCTGCAAAGCCAGCCACCTCTTCTCAGTCTACTCTGCTCACCTCATGAGTCCAGCTGTCTTGTGCGGAGGAGACTTTTCTGCCTGCTTCCCTCTCTGCTTCATGTCAGACAGTCGCTGTCGCATGTTGATGGTCATCTCTGAGCTCAGACGCCAGATGAAGATACAGCTGAAAGAGGGAAAGATGAGACTGGGGTCAAGTCTCAGTTCAGTTTATTGATATTATCAATTCCCACTGCAGAGGTAAACGAGCCCTTCTGTCTGTGGTGGGAAGAGACACACACAGAAACAGCTTCACAGAAACTCAATCCCATCACAAGCCTCATGACAAAAAGGTAAAACCTGCCTGGCAAAGACTGCCTGTGGGCGAGAGCAACTGCAGAGAGATTAGCACAGACTCATCTCCGATCCTATACCTTTATTTGACTATCTGACCAGCTGTTGAAGGAAATGCCATAACAAGTCCTCCATGGCCAGCAGGATAAGTGGAGCCTACAGATGTCCTTTGTATCCTCTAACAGGGGCTAAGCTGCAGCCTCTGATTACCCCCATGGGCAAGGCCTTCCTAATGCCCACCATCCCATGGAGTCTCTGTGGTGTAGTAATGGTTAAGCTTATGTGGCAGTACTTTTTGCAGTCAGGGTCCTAATATTTCATTTGGACTCCCTCCAGGAACCTTTTAAGGAATTTGAATGAATTTGGTCAATGGATTCAAAAGTGTTTAAGCGAGAGAAAGAAACAGTGTGATCTCATTGGTCTCATTTTCTTCAGAAATCTGGGTAAAAAATTTAAAAAAAAAAGAAATTCCTCATCACATTAGAGAATACTGTATCTCATTTTCAGCTACTAGAAAGTAAAATGTCCAGCGTTTTCTTTGAAATTTAACCTCAGCGCTAACTAATTCTTTTCATCTCACCCATCTTTCCTGTCTAGCTGGGTATACTTACACTGATGTAGAAACAGAGGTGGTGCTTTTACTATCATTTATAAAATCTTGCACACTACTTTGGAATCCAAAGAGGATTTAATCAAGTTCTTCAAGACCCATCAGTGCCACCATACTCACAGGTACTCCAAGGAGTTTTCAACGAGGGGTTTTCCCCTCTTCCTTGCTGGTTTGTAAAAAATTCATTTGCTCTGCCATTTTGAACAATGGCCATGAACTTTGGTCTCCTGGACCTGAGGCAAATGCCAAAAGCATCAGGATCCTGAATGTCTGCATCTTCTCCATTTTTTTTCTCTCATGAGAAGACATTTTAAAAGGCTTTATTTCCATGTCACACAAAGAAAACATAAACCCCACTTTGCAGTCTGTGGAGATTTTAATAGAAAACTAAAAATTCCTTTCTTGCCCCCAGTGCCACTCCCTTTGTGATAAAGCTCAGGAGCGTCACTCCCAGCTACTGAAGTCAAATACAGACACAGACGCTTCCCATCAACAGTGAACACGCTGTCATCCTCCCACCCCAGCTCTTCAGCCAGGAGAAAGTGGTGAGGCACTGCATCTGGGAACTATGGCAACCCAGGGGCAGCCAGCTGCTTCCCTTCAAGCAGCGGCTCTCTCAAACGTAACAGCAACCATAATCCGCTGCTAAGAAAATACTGAAAAGCAGGAAACAAAATTCAGAAAGCAAATCTGGCTTGTTCATTTATCCCACCCCCACAGCTATCAAACCTAGAGATAAGCAGCAAACAGTATGAACTTGTAAATACATTAACATTCAACACAAAGCTCTACAGAAGCATGCTCCCACCTACCCCTTTTGCTGCTTTTTTTTTTTTCCTTGCCATTTTTGTTTTTTCCTTGCAGTACTTTTCTCACATGGTCTCCCAATCCTTGTGCCCTTCTCCATCTCCATTTCTCTTTCTAGTCTCAGTTTTATTCTTTGCACATGCTGCTGTGTGTGAACAGACTATTTTCCCTGTTCTCCTTTGAAAAACATGCTTTCTCCTCTCCTTACAGAGAAGTTCTTCATGAATCCTTTCCTCACTTCTCATCCACCTCCTCCACACCCTTAGTGAAGAAAATGACCCTTTCACTCATGGAAATGGTCAACAAGGGGACATTGCACTAAATCACAAGAATCACTGGGGACCTCAAACCATCCATGTTTCTGGAATTTATCAGAAATTCACAGCAAAAGGACACTTTTTTTTTTGCAACTTTTCCCCTAATCTATTTACACACACGAAAGGTAAAGAAAGAGGAAAACCAAATTATTTACTTTGTACTGAAAGACAGAAATAACCAACCAGTACAATTTAAGGTAATATATTGTATGTTCTGTAACAACTCACCCTCTAAAACTCTTTTTCCGGCTCAATTGTGGTTTATTAATAGAAAAGATAAAGAGAAAATCTGGGTTGCTCTGGCCTTGAAATAGCACTCCAGGAACCATCTTTCTCAAAGGAAAAATTTTATTCAGTTCAGCTGATTTAAGCATTCACTGATTCTAGAAGTAGTGGGTCCACTCACCTCTACAATCATCACATTAGGTATGTATTCTCCTTCTCCCCTTGGGCTCAGTCTGGTGATTACTTAAGCTTTTGGTGAGCTGATTTAGCTCACTAAATCAGCAGAAAACTCAGCTGGGGGGGTGCTGATGTAGTGACCTGAATCAGCTTAATGAGGGGTCAACCGCACCACAGCTGACCTAGGGGAGTGGGGAAGAAGACCATATGGACAGGAGCAGAGTGGGGACAGGCCTGTCCCTTTTGCCGCTAGACAGGCTCATTCACCTGGTGAAACCTCACCAACAGGAGTACTGTAAGACGAAGTTTTGGCACCACTGGTCAGAATATCACAAGCATTACATCACAGACCTGAAGGCTGGTAAGGAAACAGGCCACATCCCTGTCTCCTTTCCAGCAGGGAATAGTACCTGCACTCAGAAAACCACAAGGGAAGTACTTCACATGGGCGTCTCATTCCATGGAAGGATAATATAAGCTCTGTGAGCTTTGCCAACAGCACACATTTAGGATTCAGAAAGCTCTGAGGTTTCTTTGGAATTCATAAAACATCCCTCATTGAAAAAAAAAAAAAAAAAATTCTACCTTCCTTCAGGACACACTTTAAATCCAGTGTGAGATGGCATAAGCCGATATTACAAACAAGCAAAGCTCTCTTACCTGTCACCAGAAACAGAGATCAGATGTTTGCAGTCATTACTGAATTTCATCCCGGTTACAATCTCTGCGTGAAATAAAGCACAAGAAAAAAAAACCTTCCCTGAATTATTCCAATGGGCAGAAGGGATCATTAGCCAAATAGCGTATCTGTGCTCAGCAACTCAAATTCTGATTAAAGCCAACACACTACACAGATCAATATGCCCCAAATACAATAACCATTTAACAACGAATCTAGGCTTGACATAGAAAGGTTATCCCACAGCAAAATAAGCACAAAGACTCAAGTCTCTTTTTGCTTATAATAGAATAGCCCCTGCATTGTATGATCTGAGGGTATATCATAATGAACTTAATATATGCTGAAAAAACACAGACTACCTTATAGACTATTAGAAAAGCTGTGTAAACAAATACATGGCCTGACAGGCAGGTGTGTGCTTGCGTTTTGCAATGCAAAATGACGTCTGAAAAAAGTTGAAATTGCAATGAAATAAGCTATTACACTTCATCCAACCATAACCTACTCCAAAATACCCATTGGGTAAACTTTGGTGGGGAGGAACTTTCAGAAAGCTTTGACCAGTATCAGACCCTGCTATATAGTCATCTGCAGAAAAAACGCATTTCCAGAAGTTTCCGTGCCTTACCTGAATGTCCATACATGGTTGCAACACACTCGCCAGAATAGAAATCGAAGATGGAGAGGTTCTTGTCAGAACAACTGGTTGCAATATAAAGACCAGAGGGATCTGTTTGCACCTGGTTTAGGAGATAAGAGAAGTGCAAAGATCTGGTGAGAAAGTGCCTTCAAACTGCATGAAAATGGTCCAGAATACCCAAGACAGTCATAGTAGTTAAAAGCATAAAATGCAAGTAGCTCCCATAGGACTCCAACTGAGCACCAGGCTATCCAGCATCCCAGGACAAATCTCCAAAATGACTGAAGTGTTAAAACTCAGTCCAACCTAACCAGAGACTGAAGACGCTTACAATAAACGCCTTCATGACTGTGAAGGCACCACCATCAATGGACAGACTTATACCTCTCTCTCCTACCTCCTTTTAACCATTGGGTTCTTACTTTCTTCTATCTTAAGATCAAAACAAAACAAAACCACACGCACACCAAAACACCCCACACACACACACAAAAAAAAAAAATCAGAGCTGACAGAGTTAAGTGAAATATTAAAAGATGAAATCTTGAGGAGAGAAACCAAAAAAGAACTCAACACTACAGAGAAATTGTCTTTGATAATGACACTGTCAAATCTCCAGCATTTGCAACTCCTGTTTTTGGGTTGTTTTTTTGTTTGTTGTTCCCCACCCCCGCTCCCCCCCTGCCATACACCCATTTGTTGCTTTATCATGGACCAAATATAAAACCCCCTCCAAATGCCTCACTAGATCTAAAGCAGCACTACACAGCAAATACAGCTACTGTCACCAAACGTCCTGCTTTGTCCTTTGTAAAACTTTAAGGAACTGAGAGTGAAAACGTCTGGGTTTTGAGGGAAACATGGTATTTAAATAATGATAATTTTTTTGGTTATGTTTACTTTGTTGCTGTATCTTTTGCTTTGCATGTCACTGTTTGGGTTCTACTTGTTAAACTGCAATGTATATTACCATCTCAGAACAACATGCCAAGAAAGTTTAAATTCCAGAGACAACCATAATCCCTTGGTTACATAACTGTCCTAAAAATGAACAAAGCAACATTAAAAATAATTGAGATTCCCCACTTCAGCTACACATGAAAAAACGAAAAACATAAAAGGATATTAAAAACAAAAAATCCAGCTCCCAGCAACATTTCATGGTTTGTGGTCTGAGAAAGATACAATCAAGCTCCTGAGCTTACCAGCAATAAAGTGTAGCATCAATTTTTCATTTTTATTACTCTGGCTTACAAAAAACTTTGTAGGAATTATAATAGGCAAAGAGAAAGAGAACTTATCTTTCTCTGTAAAACAGAAGAGGTGACACTGAACAAAGCTGTTTGCCTTCCTCTCCCCTTTTACCCAGTTATTTACATCCATCAATAATACTGCTGGCCTGTGCAGAAATATTTGGTTTAAAAAGTAGAAAAATTATCAGTGAAAACAAATGCCATGAAGAAGCTTGTTTGGCAACTTAACTTGAGAGATATTTTGGTTGTGTAAATCGGTCTTCCCCCTTTAAAGACAAGAATGCAATTCTTCCACATCCCAATGTGCTGGCATCACTCTTAATGCTGAATCTTGAATGCACCTGGTTTACCAGGGGAAGCCCAGGATGGTGGCAGAAGCAGGTGTGCTACCCTACCCCAAGGCCTGGATGCACTCAGCAGGTGGGAAACATGAACAGACTCAGTCTCTAAGCAGTACCAGGCTTGTCCAGCACTCCAAGACCTGAAGGATACGGGCTTTTCAGGGCAGATGCTACTTAATTTCATCAACTCATAAAGAGTTTCATTTGTATTTGCCCTCTGGCAACCACAGATTTCTCAAACACTGATCAACAGGCAGCTCCACCTTAAAACTCCTAACAAAAATAGTCAAGAAAGCCAGAATGAGCTCTCTGGAGCAGAAAGTGAAGGATTAAAGTAAATGGACTAAATAATCTCCTGATAGATACCGGTGCGGTTCTACTTGCTTTTACAGCACGGGCCTGTGCCTCACTTCAGAAACAGGACAGAGAAAGAAGTTATAGATCAACTTCAGCATTCATTGACTCTTTTCCTGTTTTAGCCTGATGGAACCCAAATACATCACTAGCCCTTAAGGATGGAGGTAAGAGGAAGCAGCAGCAGGATAAGGGACAAAGTATGGAGCAAGCAGGGGGCGGGGGAAGTTCCAGTGTTCAGATTTGTATTTCATTTTCTTAGCCCTGAGCTGCATTCAGAAGAGCTGGAAAAAAGGAAAAGGGAAGAAAGAAAGAAAACAGCTTACTTTGATGAGGGTGCCATCTTCACCTTGGGATCCTTTGTAAAGCTTCTTCTGCTTCCCACTGCTTATGTTGAAAACCCTGCAGGGGACAACATAAGACAAGATTGCTCATTTTGCCCAGGTACTGCTCTGCGGCTCTTGTCACCAGGATCCTCTTCTCTTTCTGTTCCTCATTCCACACGAGATATAGGGAACAGGGCCAAGCCACAGGAAGTAGAGAAATGACCTCTATGAACTATAACCACCAATCATTTAAATGGTTCACGAAACAACCTTGGAAGTAATGTAGGGGCCCAAGACTGGATGATATGATATCAAGCGGATTATCTGAACTAAAATTGAGGCTTGATTCTCAAGCCGATAATCAAAAACAAGTATAGCATCATGGCATTGAAGGAGAGGTCAAATGGGAGGGAGAAAACTGACCTCTATGAACTATAACCACCAATCATTTAAATGGTTCACGAAACAACCTTGGAAGTAATGTAGGGGCCCAAGACTGGATGATATGATATCAAGCGGATTATCTGAACTAAAATTGAGGCTTGATTCTCAAGCCGATAATCAAAAACAAGTATAGCATCATGGCATTGAAGGAGAGGTCAAATGGGAGGGAGAAAACCTTGCCATACCTTGTAATGGCTAATGGTTATTACAAGCCTCAGTCAGTCCTCCCTGCTATAAAAATACCTGTGGTTCCTTCACACTAAAGGAAAGAGTTGAGAGAGTAAGACCCTTTATTTATATTTGAATACAAAACCTAACTACATTCAACAGTGGTATTTAGCTATGACCAAAACTCTCGGCATCTCACCCAGATACAACAGGAGGAGACACATAACTACAGAGAGTCTCCTTTGCTTTGAAGGTAGAAGCAGACAGATTGGAGAAATGGATAAAAAGGGAGCAGAGAGTGGATTCCACTTGTCCAAAGACAGTCATACTTAGCTCAATTTTAGGTTCCTACAGTCCCAGCTATTCACAGTTTCTCACTAGACATACCTTTAAAAGCAAAAATTACCACAGAGCAGAAATTCTTGCCCCACAGCTCAATGATGTGCCGAGGAAGGCACACTTGCTCTCCAAGTAGAAAGGCTTTGCTTTACAGAGCAACCCAGCGAGAAGCCAAGAGTCCCATGGGCATTTGCATATATCCACAACTTTTTATCAGCAGGGGGAAAGGCAGAGTTCAACCTCACACAGTGTGAGGTGAGGCCTCAGATCTGTCTGAAAATGCTGTGTCAAAGAACCTAGAGGAACAATGATGGAGATGCGGCCGCCTTGGCCAACTCATTTATGACTGCAAAAATATTTTCAAGACAAGAAGTAAACTAACCTGATGTTACGATCCTGGCATCCAATAGCTGCGTATTTCCAGCTGGGGTCCACATCCATGTCATACAGAGTGGTCTTCCTAACAATGTGATGTGTTCGGGTAAACTGAACCCCTTCTCCTGTCTAAGCATGTGGGTAAAGACCACGTCAAAATCAAGTAGTTAACCCATTATTACGAACTTTTAAATACAGATGAGTTCTCTCACACAGCCAGCACAAACCAACCCTTCCCACTAACCAGGTCCGCTGGGAGCAGCTGGGACTGGAGGCACAATGAACTCCTCTCCAGCCCATACTCTTTCACCACTCCTCACAACAGCCCTGGCAGCAAAAGAAAAGCAGATATCCTAACGTATCTGTTAAGATATGGTTTGCATCTTGCTGGGAGAGGTCAGGCTGGGAGCAGCTGCATGCTTCACAGAACTAGTTCTCCATATGTAATCTCTTGCATTGAGTCAGTGGGAGACACTGAGGCTAAAATAGCAACAAGCTCATACAGAAACTCTGATATCATTCTTTAAAGTAGTTGCTTTGTGGAGAGATTATTAAAAAGAAGTGTACAAAAAGCTGTAATACGGTTACCTTCTGCGCAGTGCGGAAATAGATGCTCTTGTCTGCCCCACAGCTTATCATTCGTACTTTTCCATCATTGGCTGGAACAAAAAGGCAGGAGCCGATCAAAAGATAAACACAAATACAAGGTGGAGGAAGTGTTTCCATTTATATCACTGCTCATTTATTTCCGTCCTGATTAGCTAAGACTGACTCCTACCTAAGCAGCAGGATGCTGCAGCAAAACAGAAGCCCCTTCTCAGGGACAGAATTTGTTAATGCTCAGAGTGCATGAGGCCTTCATACAGAGGCTTTACACAACAGATTAGGATGCAATTCTGTCTTCTCCCCCAATAGTACGCTGACGTGCTTATTCTCTATGTGCCACAGCACTCTGTGGCAATATGATGGGTTCACACTCAGTATGAGCTGAAAACAGGCAATAGGCACTTTTCAGTCCTCAGTCAGTCACATGTTCCTTGCTGCCCTTTCTTACAGCAGGATCAGGCTTTCCTTCTTCCCTTAGCACTCTTCTGTAACTCATCTGCTCGTTCAGCAAAGCAACGCCTGATAAAACTCCATGCAATGAAAATGGATCCAATATCACACAAGTCTGCTTGAACTGCACCCAGAGCAGGGCTGCACTTAGCTCAGACTAGCACAAAGGCCTTCGCTGCCAGGGCCTCGAGCGCAGTTCCCTCATCTCCTAGGAGTTTCGCTGGCTGCATTCAAGGCCAGCTCACTGATAAGACAGACCTGTCAGAGAAACTTTTGCTGGCCTTGGAGCTCCTTGAGAAAAAACTTGAAAAAGCCTCACAGCGGCTTCAGGTAGCCTCTACTATGAAGCTTCAGCAAGGTCCCTGCTCTTCACTTGGGAGCTACTTTCAAGCGGAGGTTCTCATCCTTGAACCCCAACTGAGCTACGCTGCAGCAGCATTGCAGCCACGCCTGTGCCTGGCCACGTACCCTGCTGATCCGAATCCTGACCCTGACCCATGGACTTAGCTTCCCGATTTGAACTTGAACCTGCCTTGCTGCTATGGGCTTGCCTGGCAGGCACTGAACTATGGCTGACCCTACTCACTGTCTCCAGACTGATCCTGACCTGTCTAATCACTATGGATTTGTCTGGTGATCTGGATTACTGGCTGGATCTAGTTACTGTCACTGGACTTGATCTGTTCTACCTTGTTCAGGTACTGTAGGACTTTCCCATTGCCAGTGAGGCCACTACCTTTGCCTGCCTTCCTGTCACCCTCGGCTACTGGCTCCCTGGCAGAGCAGCCAACCCTTGTTCTTCGCCGACAATAGCACACCACACCGATGTCTGACCATCAGCAGCAACTGAGTGCCAGGGATGCAATGTGCTCTATTACCATAAATGCAAAGTCTTACACTGGTTTGCAATGACAAATTTACTTGTGACTAGCTAATCCCAAAATTGTTTGGGGTTTGGGGATTTTTTTGGAGGATGACTGTTCCACAGTTCTCCTCACTAAGAACAGGATGTAACCATCTGACATCAGTTAAAGGGAGTAAATCATTACAGAAAACAGCTTTCCAAAGAAATGCTGAGGACTTCAATCAGGAGAGGTTTTTTGAGTGGGGAGGAGGGAGAGGAGAAAAAAACAAAAGGCAAAAGAAGGCAAGTATTGTCAAATATCACCTTCTGTTAGGACCGCAGCTACAGAAGATGACAAAAAAGCAGCGGCAACTTCAGCCTAGCCTAACCCAGTGTGTAAGCAGTTAAAATTACTTTACAGCCACAATGGAACAACAGCAATGCTCAAATCCAGCTTTGGAGGAAGGCCATGATTCTCTACCTGCAAACTTCACAGCAGTGATGGAAGAAGAATGTTCATCCAGGGTCTGCTGCAGGCTGTAGTCCTTTCCAGCATCCAAGACATGAATCAATCTATCCCGACTGGCTGAAGCTAAGAGCTTTAAGCCTATCAGAAAGTTAAAAAGAGTGCAAGACCATTACTAAAAAGTCATTTGCTCTTCCAGTCACTATTTTAAAACAGCTTCTCAAGTCATCTTAGGGACAAAACATTATACTATAGCTAACTGCATGGACGGACACAAAGGAACGCCCCTGGATTTCACACTATAATAACAGACAGAAGAAGTTTCAATCTCAACCTACAATATTCCAAGGAAAAGTATGAGAAAGAAGCCTTTTTCAAAGTCTGGCTCTACTGGCCCAACGCTACAAGCCTGCTCTGAAATCCAGGAGTAGCTCACCACTGAAAGTTCTGACATACCGTGGCTGGACATTCTGACTTGCTCAACAGTACATTCATATGCAAAAGGGAAGAAGCTCAATTGCATTTACCTGTGTCAGGTTTGGAGTACTCCAGACATAGGATCTCAGAGTCATGGGCTTCCACCTTCAGCATTTCCCTCAGAGACTGTAATTCATATATCCTAAGACACAACATGGCTGATTTCAGTACGTTTAAGAAAATTAGCAAGACCTAGTTTTCATTCTCATGCCTGCCCAGCCCGCAATCTGCACAAGAAGCTCTACAGGATTACCTGAGAGTGCCTATCCTGTCCCCTGAGGCCAGATGCTCCCCACTGGGACTCACACAGACAGTGCGTATCCCCACTTTCGTATCCATCACTTGTGCATCAGCTTTGTCTGTCCTGCTGAGTTATAATCAGTGTCCAGAAGTACCTGAGTGTTGTCATCTACATAGATGATTTTCATCAAGTCCTGGGGATACAATACACCCGGAAATATTAATTAGTTACAAAATATTAAAGTGAAGCACCTGCCTTAGAAACTGGGCTCCTGGCCAACATATACACTTCATTGGCAGTAATGCTGTAATTGGTGGGATCTTTTAGCTAGGAGCAAGCACTCAGCCCCTTCATATTGTAGGACGAAAGTTTCACAGCTGTGTCTCACGACGACCCTTTGCAAAAGATTCCCCCGTCAAGCTAGAAACTAACAGCATCTCCCGCACAACAGACAAGCTCTGGGATTAGTTCCTGGCCAACATATACACTTCATTGGCAGTAATGCTGTAATTGGTGGGATCTTTTAGCTAGGAGCAAGCACTCAGCCCCTTCATATTGTAGGACGAAAGTTTCACAGCTGTGTCTCACGACGACCCTTTGCAAAAGATTCCCCCGTCAAGCTAGAAACTAACAGCATCTCCCGCACAACAGACAAGCTCTGGGATTAGTGATTACAACGTAGGACACAGCACAGCTGTGTCTCACGACGACCCTTTGCAAAAGATTCCCCATCTGAAAGACTTCTAGGGATCATCCAAAAGTCAGCCCATGCCTTTTGAGAAATGACAGAAAAAGCAGGAGCTTTTCCCACCATGAGCAGATTGCTGAGAACAGGCAGGTCAGGGCTGCTGTGCCATGGATCTTCCAACACAACTGAGAACGGAAGCAAATATCCATAAGTAATCACTGTTCTGTATGAGTATCCTCCCTCTTATATAGATGAAGTGAGTGTAAACTGTTTCTCACTCAATTCTCCCAAACCTCTGCCTCATTTGATGCACCTTTTCCACACAAATCTTAAAGTGGTTACACATTACAGAGATGGAGAAAAAGAGAAACAGCTCTCCTGAAGCATATGGCATGAGCCATTTTGGAAGAGACTAAGCTTGTCGAATCCTCGGGCGGTTTATGGAAAAAGCAATAGTCCCCAGGGCCATTTCAGACAAACTGTCTTTCCACCTGATACTCCCTTCACGTTTCTTCAGGTTCATACATTTTACCAGACTTGCGCTCTGTTTGCAGAGAAGCTTGTGTTGACTTAGAGATCCAAAGAAGTTTGGGCCTTAACTTGGGAATACCTGTGCATGAGGAAAAGCAACCCCAAGGGCAGAGAGGTGATCAAAACCTGAGATCTTACATTGCTGAGGATGTTGCGGTGCAGGGCTGTGCCATGAATGTTGGAGCTCTCGGTGTTCCACAGACGAATGGTGTTGTCAGAGGAGCAGGTGATGAAAGAACCAGGGGGGAGGCATGACTGATTGTTGTCCTTCACCTCCGGATACATCTAAGGGCAGGTAAAATCAACCTCTGAATGAGATTGCCTGGCACCTGGCATCCTAGACACTGGTAGCAAGTTTCAAAACAAACTGAGATAAAAGGGCTGTCTTCCCTGTTTTGTAAAGGCGAGAGCCAGCCAGTTCTCCTAATGAAAACCTGTTTGCAGACCAGAGCTTCATATTCACTTCAAACAACTGCTCACTGAGCTTCCCTGAATGTAGAACATCTCCTTAAGAAGCATGCAGCAAGCCAGCGTCCTTTGTTTCTAATAGTTCAAAGAGAGTACCTCAAAGACCACACAACAATGACCCTACAAAAACCACCTTGCACTGTTGTTTGCAACTTTCAACTACTACTGTCAATTTATAATCCAGAAGGAAAGGGTGAGATGCAATTAATAAATAATAACAAAAGAGTCCTCAACCTCTTCCCACTTTCTTTCCACTTCCCCCTTTCCTGACCACTGTTGGACATATTTCAACACATTAACAATTACATTGTTTCCTATACCTCCTTTCTTTCCCTCTGTCCCTCCGAGGGAAAGCCAACTAGACAGACTGGAAGATGACAGCCAATTGAGAGGCTAATTCCTGACGTCCTGGTAAACAGGTTAAGAAGAATCAGAGTTGAGATCTTATCACTTGTTTCATTCCTTTGACTTTGGAGCACTTGCTCACCGCAGACCTCAAATAAACTCTTGTGCATTTTGTGAAAGGAGCCCCTGCATTCAGCGTTGTCCAGTTCTGCTCCTTCTCCCACCTCTCACCTTTTAATGGTGAGATTTTTCTTCCAGTAACACACTGCATCTAATGCATTTGGTCAGCCATTACAGTGCAGCCAAAGAACTGTTCCCAGCTCCAACTCAAGCCCCGTAGCAACCACACTAACCACAGGAGGAAATCTGAGTCAATTCTTTCTCTCTGCAGTAAGTGTTTGCATTCAAATTTGGCAGCTCTTCAGATGACTTCCTCAGCTGCAACTCGTAATCCAACACTTTTGTTTGCAGACAACGTACCTCAATGTTCCACACGCAGGAAGAGTGGTACAAAGCAGAATACACCTTGCCCACTTTCTTCGGGTCTTTGACATCCCACACATACAGGCTGTGGTCATTGTATACACAGGAAAGCCACTGGTTGGTGGGATCAAAGGTCAAGGCAATCGTGTCCGGATACTTCGCATCAGCCATACCAGAGAAAAGACGACTGCACAAAGAGAGAACAACAGCCTGGTTAACTTGCGCTCTCTTGCAGCCAGAGCAAGGAGCGGAAGCGTGAGAGCTCAGATTCTCCACAGGGCGCTGGCGAGGTGAACAATGTGCTGTGACATATATAGGTAGAGAGAGTAGCTGGCTGGGAAGACCTGTCTCTTGAACAACCACAGTCCCAAAAGAAGCCTGAAAGTCCCATGGCAAAAGTCATTCTGCTTGCCATCCAACCCAGAGTCCCACCACAGATAGGCGATTGACTTTCCCTGAAGAAGGACCAAACAGGACACTTGATCATCACTGGAGATCATCATCATTTACCCCTGCATAACCAGGTAGTAAAATCCAAGTCAAATAATCTCAAAACAAAGGGGAGGGAGGATCATCTTTTGGTGGGTACTATATTTTGTTTACTGATTGCAGGAACTGCTCTTGTGTGTGACCAAGCAGAAGAGTACTGCACTCAAAAGACAGGAGCACACCAGCACAAGGGACAAAGGAATGATTCATTACAGCGGCTGCTTCTCTGACGTGCTTCCCTTCCACCCCCACCCCACACACAGGCCAGCTTGGTGCTGCTTGCAGCAGCTCATGAGATGGGCAACTGCAGATGCGTACAGTCCTTTCTAGATTGGCAAGGTCTCTGATGCAAACTTAAAAACAGAGGAATTCCGCAGAACAAGGAAACATCCCTTTCCCCAGGTTAGGCCAAGATCACGCCATGTGAACCCTGTATCTCCTCTACAGGAGTCCTCTGTTAAGTCCTGCTGCCATGCATGTAAAGAAGGAGCTGCTCTTTTGACCTGAGGTGAACACAGCCATCCCACAATGCTGCTAATGGTATCAAATAAGATAATTATAGCCAGAGTGCCCGGGTGTTGAGAGCAGGTAATTTAAAAGGACTGATGGAGATGCAGGGATGAGGGCCAAAGCGCATGTGGCACACCAGACAATTGGAGATCTGCTTCTGCAAGTGCAAAGCTTTGAGGGCTGGAAGAGCACAGCCCAGATCCTATCGAAAAATCAAGTCATTGATACAGTTGTGGGCAGTTCATTGCGGGCAACTGGCATCCCACAGAGAAGCTCTGGCATGCATGGGAATATAAGGAGTCCTGTGTTTTCAAGCTTCTTTGGAAGTAATAAAAAAAAATTGTTGTTAAGATTGTAATCAGCGCTATAAATGCATGTTTAAGAATCACATGAATATTTCTGCTCAACTGATGCATGAGAGCACAGAGAGTATTTATAAAGGGTCCATGTATACAATTGCTTGGCTTTAGCACTACCAGAAACTGGTAACATTTTAAATTGAGAGAGTTCATTTTCCAGCTTCCTTACTGGAATATCATTATCTCCCACCGATCTATAGGAGGACTATACAGTGCACTGTTTGAACCTTTACCTCAAGTTCCCAAGAGAAGTTTATAGAAAACCTGTTGAGACAAGAGGGGAAAAAAAAAAAAAGAAAAAAGAAAAGAAAGAAAAAAAAAAAAAACACACCAAAAAAAGACTATGTATCTGCAGACGTGGGAACTCCAGATATCCAGTGGAATGATGGCTGGATTCGTATACCTTTGGATTTCTTTCCCCACTAGTGACAGAAGTGAAAGAGGGCAACAGAAGATTGGGAAAGCCTCCAACCAGGATTAGCAAACAGCAACACATGAAGGGTTTTCTCTATCATAAGCCTCTGCAAGCTGGCAGACAGAACTGTAAGGAAATCACATTACCCATCTCAGAAGGCGAGAAATAGAGACCCCAGGCAGAAGATATTGGACCAAGATAGGAAAATAAGACAACAGAATGCACAAAGTTGAAGGAGAAGAAAGACTACAGACAATAGTAGGAGATTTGGGTCTATAAAAGATTGCAAGGGAGCCTTTGAAAAAGTGCCCCATGAGAGCCTGGGCATCTCTTAGCAACATTATATTGCTACAGAGTCAAGTCTTCAGCCTTTACCAGTGATAAGCAAAGGATATTCCATGATACAGGAACAACTGAAGTGTGCCAGAGCATCCTGTGCCCTCTGCCTGCTTGCTCATAGCAACCAACGTCAAAAGGCCGCCAGACCTGAGCAATCCCAGGGAGATGAGGAGCAAGATATGCTGTGTAGTCCAGCAACCAGCTTTGGGCTGTAGCCCAGCCACGCAAGGCAAGGCTGCAACAACTCAGGGAGATCTGCAACAGGCTGCCAATTTAAAGCCGTAAAAAGAGCACGCTCCAGATGGCAAAGGTCTGGGGAACAGTTCTAACCCCAACAAGCCTCCCTTGCTCCCTCCCACCCTCTCCATGGTACCTGGCCTCGGTCACACTCGCGATGTCTGTTCCCAGGAAGTGCGGCTTCGGCAGTGTGGTGACAAAGTGAAGGTTCAGAGGGTTAAAAATCCGCACGGTGCCATCAGCGCAGCCACAGAAGATGTAGTCATGATTCACAGAGATGCAGTTTGCCACAGTGGTCTGAGGAGGACACAGCACACAAGAAGGTGAATAAGCAATGCGCTCTCACTTCAAAGGTCACCAGACACACGACAGGGAGAACGGCAAATTGACAGACAAAGGAGTCATGGTCAGAAGAGCTGAAGTGAAGTCGAGCCCTGGGAGTAAGGAAAAGCCTAAAAATCCAATTTTCCTTCCTGAGGTGCTTCCCAGCCAAGGTCCGTTGCAGATTCCAAGTGGTTAAGGAAAAAGCCCAGTCCCTCTGCCACTCACTGTGGCGGGAGGTCAGCAGAGCTACACATTTGCTCCAGCTGAGACTTACTCCTAACATTGTTTTTTGTTCCTCTGTGACATTCAGCACCACTGGCAGGCAAGCAGCACCTCACCCTGTACTAGCACGTCAATACATTACCTGTCACAAGGGGATAAGAAAAGAAAAAAATGGATTTTCTTCCCCCTCCCACTGGGATCTGTACAAATGGCAGAAAATGGTACAAAATGGAGTATGGTGATAAGGGGATGAGTTCAATGCAAAACTTTTTTCCAACTTACTGTGAAGCTGTCTGTATTCTGAGCGAGAGTGAAAGGCAGATTTTAGAGAGGAAAGGAAAGAAAAGAAGAGGCATTTCACTTGAGTGAAAGCGTGGAAAGATTTTTTTCCCTTGATTTTAATACACTGGATCCTTTCAGGTGGGCATCTTACATTCAATTGAAAGGAAAATAAGCAGGATCAAATTCTTAACTCTGGGCCAACCTGGTGGTTTAGAATAGCCAAACCAACTAGCACCTTGGGAACCCGCATTTGAGATGCACAAGCCAAGTAAGACACCGCAGAGTAGGCAGAAATCACAATCCTTCTAGAAGTCCTACTTGTCCAGGCCAAGCCAGGAGGGACTATACAGTGGTTGCCAAAGCTACATCAGGACACTGCTTTGCCAGAAGGGCAGTAGCTGTAACACTGAGGCTTGAGAATGAAAGAGCCTCAATGATTAATAAAATCCCTTTGCCAAGAAGCAACGCTATTTTTGCCTGGCCTTCCAGAGTAAATCACAAAGTGGCAGAGGCCCAATGACTTTCACTGCTGGTGGTCAGCTTGCACTCCCTGAGTGCCCTTATTATTTGCTGTTCCTGCTCTGCTTCAGCAGGCACAAATATTGCAGGACAGGAGGAGGTAAAACTCACCCTCAGCTCCACCCACTTGTCTAGCAGCCTTTTTTCATTGAATTCACAGAGCAGGCCTGAGGATGTGATACAGAATGTGCTGTCAGCTTTTTTGCCCCTTCCACACGCCACATCCGCAAAGAAGTTGTTCCTCAGTTCTCCAAGCAATCCCGAGCGACCTAGCAAGGGGACTGTAGCATTGACCTACCAATAAAAAACAGTTTGTTAGAAACAGAGCAAGGCACTCCAGGCAGACAGACATTTTTTAGAACATCAACCCTTGGGTGCTGAAGTGCCTTAAAGAAAGAGGGCTGCAATCAGCCTACAAGGAGAGGTAGTAACACGTTTTAATTGCTGCAGACCCATTGGTTGTATAGCGTATCGAGACCATCAGTATTAGTACATCAGTGGAACAGAACACTGTTAGTGCCACCAAAACTGCGCATCCAAACATACGACCCAGAGACAGCAGATCAATCACTGGAAGAATAACCCTTCCGTGGCCAATCTGTAATTTATACCAAATGCCAAAGCAGGGTTCAAGCACGAAGTAGGAACATCTGTTCATGAGCACACAGAAAAATCATCGTATGTGGATTCTGTTCCCCAGAGAAGAATCAAACAGTTAAAAGTTTAAACACTTTAGCTCATGCTTCAAAATAACACTCACAATCTTTTGAGATGCTCATACCAACGTCAAACAGCTCACCCCACCTCTGTGCTCCAAGTTGTTCAATGACTGCAGCTCTTCTCTAGTTTTTATTCTCTTTTTGTATACGTGACTACTAAAGAACAAGCATGCTGCTATTACAACTCCAAGAGCTGTGCCCCTAACTCAGCACAGGATAAGACAAGCTTTTGGTGCCTTTTGGTGCTACCAACCCATAGGGAGACTGAGACTTGAGAGCCAGGGGTGGAGGGCTATCCCTGAATGCCAGCAAAATCAAACAGTTCCCACTTCCCACAGCTCACTGGGGCAAAATCCACCCTGCTATAAGATGGAAATGCCTGTTCACAGCTTGGTCTTGATGCACCTTCTCTCACCTTGGAGGTTTTGCTGTCATCCAGGTACCAGAACTTGATGTGTCGATTTCCAGCAGTGACAAAGTAACTGCAGTCCTCCGAGAATGACACGGCTGTCACTTTACTTGAGACTTTGTTGGCTGCCACTACAATGTTTTTCTGGAAACATAATTGTTTAGATAGCTTAATTTCTTTGCTCAGAAGCAAAGGAAACTCATTTCAATTACAGGCACATATCCAGTACAAACGCTGCAGCAGGGAAAAGACAAGGCCCAAACTATTCCCCATTCATCCCTGAATACAACCTCCCCAGCATTAGCTGGGAGCATTGATTTGGCAGATAGTACAATTCACATTTACATTCAGATCCATTTCCACATTGACTAGGATCTATAACAAATCAGCAGGCACTAGAGCCTGCAGGAACTTGCTGTCTGAGCCATGACAAACACGTTGGTTTCACAATCACCGGGAGCTCCGAGCAAACCCATTTCCCTTTCTAAACAGCAAAAGCATTTGTAGGCCAGCACAAGGAGGAGCTCTCCCAGCCTCCAGGCAGCAACGAGGGCAAGGAACTCAAGATGGGGAACAGGTATTTTCCGCAGGGAAAACAGTACTGGTTCTTCCATAAACTCTCTCTTCTCTTTAAAGACTTGACACTTTATCGAAAGACCCAAAACACAAAAATTCCACGCCTGTATTGGAAGGGACAAAGCAAAATCTGCTACATCTCTAATGTGCACCTCAAAACATCAAAGAGTTCAGGAAAGGAGGAAGAACACGGCAGGAACAGAAAACAGGAATGGACACTGCCCAAGCAGAATGGTCAGATGGCAGGAGCTCCCTGTCCACAATTCCAGTGCTCGGTTTTCCTCCCCCTGCCTTTCCCCAGGGATTAGTAGAAGTGAGAATAAAAAAGTTTTCCCCTCTGCCTGTGGTGGGTTTTCAACCATGCAGCACATGGTTGACAACAGTGCACCACTTTTTATGCTCGCTGTGTTTCCTTTACCCTTCCTTTTAGGGACTTGGTTGCTCCCAGTCTTCTGAATGCAATGCCCTCAGCACACGAACCACATCACTCCAAGGGCCCCATCAGACTCTGCTGACAGAACTGAAGAAACCAGCAATAGAGGAGTTTAGGCTGCTGCACCGTCACCATGGAGGACCCCCGCAACTCAGACTGGGGGAAAAGCAAGGGGGACTGCCATTAACATAACTTCTTTCAAGACAGCGCACAGTGAAAGGCCTAGGGCCCTTCCAGACCTCAACACCTGGATCGTTGCTGTGGCCTTTCTTTAGGGAAGCAAGGAGACCCTACAGACAACAGGGGTTTTCTTTTCCATCACAGTCAAATGACTGACCAAGTCTCCCAGCCAGGAAAAACAGGGAAACCAAAGCAGCAGCACAGTGGACAGAAGAAGGGTTGTGGTTAAAAGTGAAGGAAAGTGCTTCAGGAGATCTGTTTTCACATCTTGGTCTCTTAGTCTTCTCTGACTTCGGTCAGATAAAGTGTCTCTAGTCTTGGTACCCAGCTTGCAAAATAGAGGCTAGCTGGACCTCCCAAGAGTCACAGTCCAGAGCAGATGCTTAGAGCATGTGTTCTTCAGTACAAAAGAGTGAGATAATCCTTACCTCACAGGCTCTCATGCATATAATTATAAATAGGACCACAGTGAACAGAAAAACCTGCATAAGCAAGGGAAAACAAAGCTACTTGTACTCAGACCCACACATGCCATGCATTATGACCATCTCCAAGTCACTACTTTCATTTGTTTAACTAGAAAGAACCAAAAGGCTGAGCACTCGATTTTCAACACTGACAAACACACTTAGGTTTTATCACTACAGAGTTCCGCTATACAAAAAAATAGCAAGGTCAAACTTCAGCTCATGCAGGAGGGAACTAACAGAGAGAGCTTACATTACAGCGCAGGAGATGTGGTGAAGAGAGAACATACTAAATGAGCACAGACTTACAAGCTGCATCTGCAACAGATGCATTGAAGTTTTTTTTAAATCACATCTCTTTTAGAGAGGGTTACAGCACCTAAGAGGTAGCAGTTGCTGAATAAGTGCTTAGCATTTATTAATACAGAAGACTCCAAGTCTACGACAATAAATGTTTCTTTTTTTATATACAAACAGCACAAATTTAAATGTTTTCTAGAGGCTAAGACATGGGTTTTGTTTCCACGGAGTACTGCCCCAATCCAGTGGCAGACAGTGATCTCCACCAGCTTTCACCCACTGTGCTTTCTCTATGTTCCCTTTCTCAATCATCAAGGATGGGATTAGAGTATCACAAACCCTGACACAACAAAAACAAAACAAGCCAAGAGCATCCACTACTCCATAAAAGAAATCCCTGGCTGATGAGAGTTTCCTTCCTCAACCTCATAAATCAGTTTTTAATAAGCCTCTAAAAAACCATAAGACTTTGACAAGGTTTCAAAGTCCAGCCTTTTCTGTCTGGACAGCAAGATGTCACATGCCTCCAAGTATAGAGAATATCCCTTCACTGAAGTGACTTAGACCTTCCCTAAGGGACCATAGCTCTCTCTCACGTCCAAACTTCTCTGTGTCTATGAGTGTCAAAACCAAACAACAACAGAATATTAAAAAAAAGCAGAAAGCAAGATGGAACTGAAATAGTTTACAGACAGACTGCCCACTCTTTTTAACTTAGCAACACCCTGTGGTCCACCCAACCTCCCGAGAACTTACCTTCCATGACCACACGTTGACAATCATGTCATGCTGGTACCCCACTGAAACAATGTACTTGGAGCTGGGGGAGAAGGCCACGCAGGCCACGCCATACTTGTGCTCCTGGAGCTCAGCCACCTGGGTTCGCTCGGCCACATCCCATACCCGAACTGCTGGCATGTGTCCGCTCTGGAGGGGACAAGAACAGACACAGGACAGGAAACATAACCCCCGAGGTCAGTTCTGACAGATTGAAGCACACAAATATGTGGGGGCTTGGAAAAAGACGTCTAGATGGTGCATTCACAATAGGGTGAGAGGTAAGACCTCACTTCCTTCGACTCTTTAAAGCCCAGGTTGATACTGACAACCTAAGGAGTATATGCATTTCAACAGGTGTCTGAAAGAATTAATACGATCTCCCCTGCTTTAATCCTTTTCTTATGCTACTCACAAAACAGCCAGAGACTAGAACAATACTTTTGATGCACATCCCTGATCTTTGCAATGGGAACTCACAGCCAGCTCACGAAAAGGATTGTAACAGACCGTATCTCTGGACTCAGTGAAGGAAAAGGCCCTCACATCCTCTGCCCCTAGCACAGCGTGGACATCTGAGATCCCAAGCCAGGTCATGCCACACAAAAACATGACGTGACTGTTGCGATAACTATCACACACCATTTGAGGGAGGCCTCTGGGAGGCTAGCAGCATCACTTCTGTCACAAAGGTAACACACGGATGCATGCTGCCTGAAAGAGTATGGGCAGGTAGTGTCAGAGAAAAAGACACTGAAGGAACAGAGCCTCTGGTTTTACGCTTGTTCTCCAGAGAAACAGAAGATCATATACTTCAGCAATGCCAATTCAGCCAGCACCTTCTGCCAGACAATTCTATTCTTTGTTTAATTGTTTGTTATTAGACCAAAATAAAACAAGGCGCACAAGATGAGCTGAAATGCTGGTCAAAAATGTGCCTGATGGGCAAATCCTACTCAAGAGCCTGCTCGTGATTTCACATTGAAGTCTGTCAAAACAATAGCTTGCAAGATAACATATCCATGGCAACTCGGCAAAATGGTACCTTTTCTAATCAGTTTTAAGTAAGTCATTTGATTGTGTGGGAGAGGCAAGTCTGATGACAATGAAAAGTCAAAGCTTTAAAAACTCAGAATTGTGCATGTTTTAATTGTCTTGTTCAAAAGCTTTGCCAAGCAACTGCTTGTGGCCTGGAAAAACACTGTGGGCAGATTTTACTGCAGTAGGTACAGTTCTCTCTCTTCCAAGGCAGAGCTCGGGTCTCAAGGTGGCTGGCAAGATGTTACAATGAGCTGAATCAGCTGCTCTTCAAAGCAGCTACTGTACTTAAACACATACATACATATGTGTGTATATACATACATATATATATTTCCCAGCATCTTGGCATACACCCCAAGACCTTAACAAATTGAATTTGTATTTCACCATTTAAGAAATTCTCACCAAAAGTGAGCTCTGTGTGATCCCCATGGCTGAGGAATCTATGCTTCTATGGGCAGAAAGAAAAAATAAAAATAAAAAAAGAAAGGGGGAAAAAAAAAAATCAATTTTCTTCTGTATTTGAAATATACACAAGACATTTAATATGTATGGTGGCCAAGGACTAACCTCCATGCTGTCCTTCGTGGAAAGCCAGCCATGTAGAAAACTAAGGTGTTCCTAGGCAGAATTAGCACGAGGCTGCTAAAAGCGAGCTTGACAAAGTGAACTCGGAAAGCATTTCCCTATGGGACCTCCCACAGGACAGAGGTTGAACTCAGACGAGACTGCTGACACCGGCAGGGGACACTGCTACACCAAGTAACGACTCAAATGTCAGACACGTGGGAGGATACCGAAAAGAGAAATGGTCTTACAACAGGGCAAGAGGAGACATGTTTTGCAACAAGGCAAAAAAAAAGCTTTCAAGTATAACTGGAAAGGCTTGCTTCCCCTTCCCCTCCACCCCCCAAAAAAAAAAATCTGAATTTGCCATTTAGCCCAATGAAGTTTCAAACTGAAAAGCTTGAGCTGTCAGTAAGAAAAATACCCACTTAATTTTTCACCACTTTTCCTACCCCACACGAAAAGAATAAAGCACCAGGGGTTAAAAAAAAAAAAAAAA